AGAAATAGAAATTCTATTTGACCCAGCAATCCCATTACTGGGTATATATTCAAAAGTCTGTAAATCGTTCTACTATAAGGACACATGTACACGAATGTTCATTGCAGCACTGTTTACAATAGCAAAGACCTGGAATCAACCCAAATGCCCATTGATAATAGACTGGATTGGAAAAATGTGGCACATATACACCATGGAATATTATGCAGCAATCAGAAATGATGAGTTTGTGTCGTTTGTAGGGACATGGATGAATCTGGAAAACATCATCCTCAGCAAACTGACACAAGAACAGAAAATGAAACACCGCATATTCTCACTCATAGGTGGGTGATGAAAAATGAGAACACATGGACACAGAAAGGGGAGTACTAAACAGTGGGGTCTATTGGGGGGAAAAGGGGAGGGCCAGTGGGAGGGGGAGGTGGGGAGGGATAGCCTGGGGAGAAATGCCAAATGTGGGTGAAGGGGAGAAGAAAAGCAAAGCACACTGCCATGTTTGTACCTACGCAACTGTCTTGCATGCTCTGCTCATGTACCCTAAAACCTATAATCCAATAAAAAATTAAAAAAAAAAAAAGAATGGTTTGTTTTTAACTTTTGAATTATTTATCTTCAAATGGATGCTGTTAAAGTATTTGAAGGATATTGAAAAGTAGCTTGAATATTTTAAACATTTTTCATTACAACTTCATATTGTTAATTTCTTTAAAAAAATTTTTAAGTTATTTTTTAATGCTACTTCAGGTGGAATGTATTGTAATTTTTTTAAAAGAATAATTATCCTTCATTTGTATTTTAATCATAAATTGAGCTCAATGTCTTAATTATAAAAATTATCAAAATTGGGCAAGGCATGGTGGCTTATGCCTGTAATCCCAGCACTTTGGCAGGTCCAGGCAGGTGGATCAATTGAGGTCAGTGGTTCAAGACCAGCCTAGTGAACATGACAAAACCCAATCTCTACTAAAATACAAAAAAATAGCTGGGCATAGTGTCATACACCTGTAATTCCAACTACTTGGGAGGCTGAGACACAAGAATCAAGAGGCAGAGGTTGCAGTTAGCTGAAATTGTGTCACACTCCAGCCTGGGTAAAAGAGTGAGACTCTGTCTCAAAAAAAAAAAGAAATTATCAAAATTGAAGAATTTTATGTCTTCCTTGTTTTTTTCTTCAAATTAATAATTAACTGCACTCCTTTCTAGACTGATGGAAATCAAGCCTTGTTTAGAAGTCATCACTTTTAAAGGGTTGTTAGGGTTTATCTTCTAGAGAGAGTAAGTACTATGTCAGGGTGAATTCTCTGCTATCAAAAGGGAGAATTTGGGAAATGGAAAACTTCTAAAATATAAGAGCGAGGATTTGCCTAAAACTGTATTAAATTTACAGATGGAATTTTTCCCAGTTTAGCAGAGTATTTAGAAATAGATATCCATAAATAATGTGGAATGTTGGGTGTATTTGAGGATTAGAAAGCTATTTGGTAAAAAAGAGGTAAGCAGCAGTCTTGGAGTGGAGATACCATTGTTGACACAGAGAAAACATGGGAAACTTATTAATGAGAGAACAAAATGGAAATAAGGCCTTTGGGATGGTAGAATGCTCTGAAATGAGGAAATCACCAACCTCGGTGAATGTCCCAGAGTAGAATAGGGAATAGAATAGAAAGATGCATAACCAACACTGGGGATATGAACTCCAATGAGTGTTGTAATCATCCTAAGAATGCATTTTAGGTTTATATTTATGGGGGAGAGATTCCTTGCCTATTTCTGGGGTAGCACTTGAAATGAGATTTCTAATTTGGTTGCTGAGAAAAGAATGGGTTTTTAGTGTTTGAGATTATACTCTAGATATGCAGAGGTAGAGTCTGAGGCTAAAGGTACTGTTAGTTTGTCTGGAATTGAGATAGTATTAACTGTATTCACTGGGAATTAGTTACTTTTAGTCTTATTTTTAAAGGTCAACAGTAACTTCCATCATTTACTTCATTAAAACGTTTTCATTATTAACTGTTGGCTATTGCTATGTAATAAATTACTTCAAAACCTTAATGGCGTCAAACAACAAATACTGATATCTCACAGGCTCTTGGGTTGGGAATTGAAGAGTGGCCTAGCTGGGTTGTTCTGGTTCACTATTTATCAGGAAATTGGCCAGGACTGGTGGCTTACTCCTGTAATTCCAGTACTTTGGAAGGCTGAGGTGGGCAGATCACTTCAGGTCAGGAGTTCAAGATCAGCCTGGCCAATATGATGAAACCCTGTCTCTACTAAAAATACAAAAAATTAGCTGAGCATGGTGGAGGGCACCTGTAATCACAGCTATCTGGGAGGCTGAGGCAGGATAATTGCTTGATCCCGGGAGGCAGAGGTTGCAGTGAGCAGAGATCACATCACTACACTCCAGCCTATGTGACAAAGTGAGACTCAGAAAACAAAAAAGATAATGGCCACAGCATGGCTTGACTGCTACTGGAGGATTTACTTCTGAGATGGCTCACTCAGATGGCTTTTGGCTATTGGAAGCAGGCCTGTTCCTTGCTAGGTAGATCTCTCTCTAGGGTTGCTCCATGTATTCTTTGTGGAAGCTTGTTCTCCCTCCACCTTGCCCTGTCTCCCAGCCAAAAATCCAAGAGATAATAAGGAGGATCTGTAGTGCTTAGTATGACCCAGCCTCAAAAGTTATATCTCATCAGTTCCTCCATATTCTCATCTTTAAAAGTGAGTCAATAAGTATAACCCACATTCTAGGGGAGGGAAATTAAGCTCCAGCTTTTGAAGGAAGTAGTATTAGAATTTGTGGACATACATTAAAACCCCCTCAACTATATGCCTCTGATTATTCTCTCATCTTGAATTATCTTTCATGCTTTACTACGGTGTTTGCCAGATAATTGAATGTGATATTTTGAAATGTGAAGCAGAATTACAATTTTACCATTATTAGTTTCTTCATACAATTTATATTTTTAATTGACATAGGGGCTATATCATTGGACTGAATCTCTGGTAGTCCTTATTATTGTTACTTTTGTATGTGATTCAATAAAAAATATTTCAGAGCCTGCTGTGTGGAAGACATTGTGTAAAGTCTTTTTTTGTCCCCCACTCCCATCCCCCCACATTTTCTGCACACATTCCCTATCTTTCTCCCTTGCTTTATTTTTCTCTGTAGTACTTTGCTGTTCCTTTCTCCTTTCCTCCCTATGTTCCAGCCATACCAGTCTCCATACATAGAACCTGCCAGACATTCTTTTGCCTTAGGACCTTTGTTGCAGCTGTAACTTTTGCCTGCAGTAGTGTTCTCCCAAATTTTCATGTTTGACTTCCTTTCCTCTGAAGTTTTTGGTCAAAGGTCACCTTTCAATGAGGACTTCTTGACTACCCTATGTAAAATTCCAACCTGTTCCTACATAAATATTCCCAGTATCCTTAACTCTGCTCTTCTTTTTCTAGCATACTATATAGTTTATTTGTTAGGTTTATTATTGTTTATTCTAGCTGGAATGTAAGATTCCCCAAAGGCAGAAATCTTTATCTATTTTGTTTACTTACCTCAAGTGCCTAGAACGTGAGTGCTCATTATATTATTTTTTTAGGGGTGCAATCACTAACATATATTTAGACTATTATCTTTTTTTTTAAGCTAGAATGTAAACTCCATGGGGGCAGAGATTTTTGTCTATTTTATTCATTGCTTTACCCAGCACATAACACAATGTCAGGCATGTAGTAGGCATTCATTAATTGTTAAGTAAATGAAAACACTGGGTTAGCAGTTTTTCATTTGGGCCAGTTATTTTGTTTTTCAGAGTGGAATCAACATTTTTTTTATCTTTGTAAAATTAATACCTGTTTATTATGTAAAATTTTAGTCCATATATAAAAGTAAATGAAGAAAATAACATCTACCCTAATCATACCTTGTTATACCTAAACATAATCTTCAGTTTATGTATTATTGGTTATGTTTATATGTAGGATGTCTGTGTATAAATTTATTTTTTTATGAGAATGTGTCATACTAGATACTCTGTTTTTCAGAGTGAATTTTTATACTTAATGTGGGAATCTTAATACATTCAAAGTAGAACCATGTCTTTTTAGTGTCTACTTACCAGTATATATTAAAACATTGAAAATTGTCTATTCAAAACTATAGTTATCCAAACTGTACATAAGTTATATTCTATTACTAAGTATTTTATTTATGAGAAAAATGTTCCAAATGAAGCACCCCTTAATTTTTCATAAACTTAAAATATGATTCCCAGAAAAATTGTACAAGAGAACTTTGGTCTGAAGAACAAATGAAGTATAATAATTCCAGAAAATTCAAATTTAAAATGTAGTAGGCAAGATCAGGATGAAGTTTAGAATAATGAAGGAAAGGTTGATGAGTTGCAAAATATATTAAGTGAATATGTTATTGGCAAGGAAATTTACTGCTTTGAATAAAAACTTAGTCATTCTCCTATAGAACATAAAATGTCATATGCTAAATGTATGACTATAGGTAGCAATCCTATAAAACTGGGTATATTCACTGTCGTAAGTTGGTACAAAAAGTATCTTGTGGCCTAAATTGAACTAAACTATTAAATGAGTTCAGAAGAAGAAGCAATCTTTTCTGAATGGGATAATTTGGGTCAATTTATTATATTCTAGTCATTTTATTGCTTTCCTATTATCTTCAGAATTATAATTAGTATTAATATTTTTTTCCAGTTTACAGGGGATAATTTGGTAAAACATCAATATTTTATACAAAACTTTGGGTAATTTAAGGGAATTGCTATTATTTCATCCTGGGTAAATCATATTTTATCTTTTACCATTGAAGGTAGCTAAACATAAGAGATAGGTCATTTCTTCTTTAAATTCTTCTTTAAAATTCATTGTCTTCATGTTTTCATCTTGAATGGTTTCTTTTTTTTAATGTTCCTTCCCCAGTTAGTTTAAGCATCTTAAATACTTTTTTTTTACTTTTTCTTCAGATTGAACTCATTTGCCAGCAAAATAATATTATAGTATTGGAAGATACAATAAAAAAACTTAAATCTGTAAGTACATTTTCCATAAATACATGTTGAGGAATTTTTTTTATTTGATCAGTAAAGTATTAGAAATTGTGTCTTCTTGTGAGGAATAAAATGTGTTTGTTTTCTAAAATCTGCACCAGCTGTAGGGACACAGGGGAACCCCCATCTGTAAGAGTGACTTTTTTTGCTTCTTTCATCACTATTCTTTTTTTCCCTAGAGGCAGAGAACAACTTTTGGTTGGCTTTATTAATGTCCTTATCTGTTAATTGACGTAAAATGATGACTGAATAATTCTCAAAATATAAAATATATTTGTTTACACATTAAATTTTATCCCCCTTAGTAATAAATATTTTTAAGCTATACATTTTATTACATAATTTGAAACAATGTTTTATTTATCTAACAATGTGAAATGAAAAGTGCTCTGTTTAAACATTTTAATGTTATTTAAAATATTTAAAACCCTTTGTAAGTATATCTATAATTTTCTCCCAATAAAGTACTGTTAAGTAAATGTTTTCTTTTTCTTTTTGTAATACGGAAGTTTATTTTTATTTTTATTTATTTTATTGCATTTTAGGTTTTGAGGTACATGTGCAGAACATGCAAGATAGTTGCGTAGGTACACACGTGGCAGTGTGTTTTGCTACCTTCCTCCCCTTCACCCACATTTGGCATTTCTCCCCATGCTATCCCTCCCTAGCTCCCCCCCCGCTACCCCTCCCCTATTTCCCCCAATAGACCCCAGTGTGTAGTGCTCCCTTCCCTGTGTCCATGTGTTCTTATTGTTCATCACCCGCCTATGAGTGAGAACATGCGGTATTTCATTTTCTGTTCTTGTGTCAGTTTGCTGAGAATGATGTTCTCCAGATTCATCCATGTTCCTACAAAGGACACAAACTCATCATTTTTGACTGCTGCATAATCCATGGTGTATATGTGCCACATTTTCCCAGTCCAGTCTATCATTGATGGGCATTTGGGTTGGTTCCAGGTCTTTGCTATTGTAAACAGTGCTGCAATGAACATTCATGTACATGTGTTCTTATGGTTGACCAATTTATAGTCTTTTGGATATATACCCAGTAATGGCATTGCTTGGTTAAATGGAATTTCTATTTCTAGGTCCTTGAGGAATCGCCACACTGTCTTCCACAATGGTTGAACTAATTTACACTCCCACCGGCAGTGTAAAAGTGTTCCTATTCTCCACATCCTCTCCAGCATCTGTTGTCTCCAGATTTTTTAATGATCACCATTCTAACTGGCGTGAGATGGTATATCTCAATGTGATTTTGAATTGCATTTCTCTAATGACCAGTGATGATGAGCATTTTTTCATATGTTTGTTGGCCTCATGTATGTCTTCTTTTGTAAAGTGTCTGTTCATATCCTCTGCCCATTTTTGAATGGGCTTGTTTGTTTTCTTCTTGTAAATCTGTTTTAGTTCTTTGTAAATTCTGGATATCAGCCCTTTGTCAGATGGGTAGACTGCAAAAATTTTTTCCCATTCTGTTGGTTGCTAATTCACTCTAGTGACTGTTTCTTTTGCCGTGCAGAAGCTGTGGAGTTTCATTAGGTCCCATTTGTCTATTTTGGCTTTTGTTGCCAATGCTTTTGGTGTTTTGGTCATGAAGTCCTTGCCTACTCCTATGTCCTGAATGGTTTTGCCTAGATTTCCTTCTAGGGTTTTTATGGTTCCAGGTCTTATGTTTAAGTCTTTAATCCATCTGGAGTTAATTTTAGTGTAAGGTGTCAGGAAGGGATCCAGTTTCTGCTTTCTGCACATGGCTAGCCAGTTTTCCTGACACCATTTATTAAACAGGGAGTCCTTTCCCCATGGCTTGTTTTTGTCAGGTTTATCAAAGATTGTATGGTTGTAGATATGTTGTGTTGCCTCCGATGCCTCTGTTCTGTTCCATTGGTCTATATCTGTGTTTTGGTACCAGTACCATGCTGTTTTGATTACTGTAGCCTTGTAGTTTAGTTTGAAGTCCGGTAGTGTGATGCTTCCTGCTGTGTTCTTTTTGCTTAGAATTGACTTGGCTATGCGGGCTCTCTTTTGGTTCCATATGAAGTTCATGGTGGCTTTTTCCAGTTCTATGAAGAAAGTCAATGGTAACTTGATGGGGATAGCATTGAGTCTGTAAATTACTTTGTGCAGTATGGCCATTTTCACGATGTTGATTCTTCCTAAGCATAAACGAATGTTTCTCCATCTGTTTGTGTCCCCTCTTATTTTGTTGAGCAGTGGTTTGTAGTTTTCCTTGAAGAGGTCCCTTACGTTCCTTGTAAGTTGTATTCCTAGGTATTTTATTCTCTTTGTAGCAATTGTGAATGGCAGTTCTTTCTTGATTTGGCTCTCTTTAAGTCTGTTATTGGTGTATAGGAATGCTTGTGATTTTTGCATATTGATTTTATATCCTGAGACTTTGCTGAAGTTGCTTATCAGTTTCAGGAATTTTTGGGCTGAGACAATGGGGTCTTCTAGATATACTATCATGTCGTCTGCAAATAGAGACAATTTGGCTTCCTTCTTTCCTATTTGAATACCCTCTATTTCTTTTTCTTGCCTGATTGCTCTGGCTAGAACTTCCAGTACTATATTGAGTAGGAATGGTGAGAGAGGGCATCCTTGTCTAGTGCCGGATTTCAAAGGGAATGCTTCCAGGTTTTGCCCATTCAGTATGATATTGGCTGTTGGTTTGTCATAAATAGCTTTTATTATTTTGAGATACGTCCCATCAATTCTGAGTTTATTGAGGGTTTTTAGCATAAAAAGGGCTGTTGAATTTTGTCAAAGGCCTTCTCTGCGTCAATTGAGATAATCATGTGGTTTTTGTTTTTGGTTCTGTTTATGTGGTGAATTACATTTATAGACTTGAGTATGTTGAACCAGCCTTGCATCCCCGGGATGAATCCTACTTGATCATGGTGGATAAGCTTTTTGATATGCTGTTGCAATTGGCTTGCCAGTATTTTATTGAAGATTTTTTCATCTATGTTTATCATGGATATTGGCCTGAAGTTTTCTTTTCTTGTTGAGTCTCTGCCGGGTTTTGGCATCAGGATGATGTTGGTCTCATAAAATGATTTGGGAAGGATTCCCTCTTTTTGAATTATTTGGAATAGTTTCAGAGGGAATGGTACCAGCTCCTCTTTGTGTGTCTGGTAGAATTCGGCTGTGAACTCATCTGGACCTGGGCTTTTTTTGTGTGGTAGGCTCTTAATTGTTGCCTCAACTTCAGACCTTGTTATTGGTCTATTCATAGTTTTGGCTTCCTCCTCGTTTAGGCTTGGGAGGACACAAGTGTCCAGGAATTTATCCATTTCTTCCAGGTTTACTAGTTTATGTGCATAGAGTTGTTTGTAATATTCTCTGATGATGGTTTGAATTTCTGTGGAATCTGTGGTGAATTCCCCTTTATCATTTTTTATTGCATCTATTTGGTTATTCTCTCTTTTCTTTTTAATCAATCTGGCTAGTGGTCTGTCTATTTTGTTGATCTTTTCAAAAAACCAGCTCTTGGATTTATTGATTTTTTGAAGGGTTTTTCGTGTCTCTATCTCCTTCAGTTCTGCTCTGATCTTAGTAATTTCTTGTCTTCTGCTGGGTTTTGAGTTTTTTTGATCTTGCTCCTCTAGCTCTTTCAATTTTGACGATAGGGTGTCAATTTTGGCTCTCTCCACTCTTCTCATGTGGGCACTTATTGCTATATATTTTCCTCTAGAGACTGCTTTAAATGTGTCCCAGAGATTCTGGTATGTCGTGCCTTCATTCTCGTTGGTTTCGAAGAACTTCTTTATTTCTGCCTTCATTTCATTGTTTATCCAGTCAACATTCAAGAGCCAGTTGTTCAGTTTCCATGAAGCTGTGAGGTTCTGAGTTAGTTTCTGAATTCTGAGTTCTAACTTGATTGCACTATGGTCTGAGAGACTGTTTGTTATGATTTCAGTTGTTTTACATTTGCTGAGGAGTGCTTTACTTCCAGTTATTTGGTCAATTTTTGAGTAGGTGTGATGTGGTGTTGAGAAGAATGTATGTTCTGTGGATTTGGGGTGGAGAGTTCTGTAAATGTCTATCAGGTTTGCTTTTTCCAGGTCTGAGTTCAAGCCCTGGATATTCTTGTTAATTTTCTGTCTGTGTGATCTGTCTAATATTGACAGTGGAGTGTTAAAGTCTCCCACTATTGTGTGGGAGTCTAAGTCTCTTTGTAAGTCATTAAGCACTTGCCTTACATATCTGGGTGCTCCTGTATTGGGTCCATATATATTTAGTAACATTAGCTCTTCTGGCTGTATTGATCCTTTAACCATTATGTAATGTCCTTCTTTGTCTCTTTTGATCTTTGTTGCTTTAAAGTCTATTTTATCAGAGATAAGAATTGCAACTCCTGCTTTTTTTTTGCTCTCCATTTGCTTGGTAAATCTTCCTCCATCCCTTTATGTTGAGCCTTTGTGTATCCTTGCATGTGAGATGGGTTTCCTGGATGCAGCACAGTGATGGGTTTTGGCTTTTTATCCAATTTGCCAGTCTGTGTCTTTTGATTGGTGCATTTAGCCCATTTACATTTAGGGTTAATATTGTTATGTATGAATTTGATACTGCCATTTTGATGCTAGCTGGCTGTTTTGCCCATTAGTTGATCAGATTCTTCATTTTGTTGATGCTCTTTAGCATTTCCTGTGATTTTGGAATGGCTGGTACTGGTTGTTCCTTTCTATGTGTAGTGCCTCTTTCAGGAGCTCTTGTAAAGCAGGCCTGGTGGTGACAAAATCTCTGAGTACTTGCTTGTTCGCAAAGGATTTTATTTTTCCTTTACTTATGCAGCTCAGTTTGGCTGGATATGAAATTCTGGGTTGAAAGTTCTTTTCTTTAGGAATGTTGAATATTGGCCCCCACTCTCTTCTGGCTTGTAGGGTTTCTGCCGAGAGATCTGCTGTGAGTCTGATGGGCTTCCCTTTGTGGGTGATCTGACCTTTCTCTCTGGCTGCCCTTAGCATTTTCTCCTTCATTTCAACCCTGGTGAATCTGACGATTATGTGCCTTGGGGTTGTGCTTCTTGCGGAATATCTTGGTGGTGTTCTCTATATTTCCTGGATTTGAGTGTTGGCCTGCCTTGCTAGGTTGGGGAAATTTTCCTGGATGATGTCCTGAAGAGTATTTTTCAGCTTGGATTCATTCTCTTCATCACATTCTGGTACACGTATCAAACATAGGTTAGGTCTCTTCACGTAGTCCCACATTTATTGGAGACTTTGTTCATTCCTTTTTGCATTTTTTTCTCTAATCTTGGTTTCTCGTTTCATTTCATTGAGTTGATCTTCGACTTCTGATATTCTTTCTTCTGCTTGGTCAATTCAGCTGTTGAAACTTGTGCATGCTTCGCGAAGTTATTGTGTTGTGTTTTTCAGCTCCTTCAATTCATTCATATTCCTCTCTAAGTTGTCCATTCTTGTTATCATTTCCTCGAATATTTTTTCAAATCTTTTTTTAAGGTTCTTAGTTTCTTTGCATTGATTTAGAACATGTTCTTTTAGCCCACAGAAGTTTCTCATTACCCACCTTCTGAAGTCTAATTCCGTCATTTCGTCACAGTCATTCTCCGTCCAGTTTTGTTCCCTTGCTGGTGAGGAGTTTTGGTCCTTTGTAGGAGGCGAGGTGTTCTGGTTTTGGGTGTTTTCCTCCTTTTTGCGCTGGTTTCTTCCCATCTTTGTGGGTTTATCCACCTGTCTTCTGAGTGGTTGCTGATTTTCCGATTGGGTCTCTGAGTGGACGTCCAGATTGTTGATGATGAAGTATTTCTGTTTCTTAGTTTCTTTGCTAACAGTCTGGCCCCACTGCTGTAGGACTGCTGAGGTCCACTGCAGGCCCTGTTTGCCTGGGGAACTCCTGTAGCAGCTGCAGAACTGTGAGGGTTGCTACCGGATTCTTCTTCTGCTATCTTTGTCCCTGAATGATGCCCGCCAAATGTCAGTCTGATCAGTCCTTTGTGAGGGGACTCTTTGGATATATGGGGGTCAGGGAGCTGCTTGAGGAGACAGTCTGTACTTTATAGGAGCTCTAGTGCTGAGCTGTGAGCTCTATTGTTCATTCAGGGCTGCTAGGCAGGTATGTTTAAGTCTGCTGCAGCAGAACTCATAAAGCCCCCTTTTTTTTTCCTCAGGTGCTCTGTCTTGGGGAGTTAGGGCTTTATTTATGAGTATCCATTGCACTTTCCTGCCCAGCGAGGTGGCAGTCTAGTCACTGCCTGCCTGTAGTGGGTATGATGAACTGCGGTGGGCTCCACCCTTCTGCCATGTGTAATTCCCTGTAATCTTGTTTATATGGGTGTGGTTAGAATTGCAGTGGTGATGGTGGCCTGCCTCTGTAGTGGCGGACTCTCTCTGTTATGGCGGGTTGCCTCGGCAATGGCAGGGTGCGTCAGCAATGGCTGAGTACCTCCGTAGGGGTCGCATGCCTCAGTAGTGGCAGATGCCCCTCCCCCACCAAGCTGCACTGTTCAGCTGTGCCTGCCGTGAAACTCACAACTCTGCGTTTCCAGTTGCTGTTTTGTTTTTTTTGTGGGGGTTGGACCCGCCGAGCCCGATCACCTGCCTTCCTGCCTCAGAGCCCCCCCTTTTTTTTTTTAAGTTGAACGGTTGACTCTCTTCCAGGTGTTCCAGTTGCCTGCTGCAAGGGCGCCGAGATCTGTGTGATTTCCCGTGCAGCAACCCACTGCGCCGGCTCAAACCATGTTGCTGCCTGGGAATCTCCTGGCCTGGCTTTCTGTTTAAGTCCCATTTAATCAGATGAATGTGCTAATATGCCTTCCGAAATCTCCAATTGCTGGTTTAACAAGGCAACCAAACCAGTGTATTTTGTGCGGAGTGTCGCTGCACTGCGGCCTCGGCCCAAACAGCCGTGCCAGCCCAAACAGCCGCGCCGGCCCAAACTGCTGGGCTGGCGGCCTGTGGGTCTCTTACACCTGGGAATTTCCTAGTCTGTGGACAGTAAAGATCCGTATGGAAATGCGGCATCCACTCACCCTCTGCGGATTGACTGGGAGCTGCAATCCTGAGTTGGTCCTACAGTGCCATCTTTGATTTATCATCCTCTGTAAATCTTTTTAAAGAAGTGTTTCTAAATATATTAAAGTGAATGGAAATTCGTGGGAATTCTTACAAGTATGGAATATCCAGCATTCAGTTAATTTATTCATTCATCAAACAATATTAGACAAAACTTTGATGCTATAACAGATACTTTAATAATAGCATATGTTTTTCAAAAGCAAATCCATTCCATTTGTAGGATGTTTGCTAGGTCTATGGACATTTCTGGCCTCTCTAAAATATCTTTACCATTATTTTCTCCAAAATTATTGAGCAAATTTAAGGGTGGGTGCTTTTAGTTAAAGTATAGCATACTCAGAAATGCTGGGAAAGAAAGATATCATAAGTGTTTTTTAAAAATTATGGATATATAATTTTTTAAATGTTCTATTAAAAAAATACCAAATTAAATGTTTTTAAGGATCCTGTTTGTTTTCAATTTCATTTAGAAAATGATGCTATAATTTAGCTTCAAATAATGGCCTAATTTTTTCCTCCTTGCAAGATAATTTTAGAGACTGAAAAAGCGCAAAATAAATCTCCTTCTAGACTTGATTCCTTTGTCAAGACTTTGGAAGCAGACAGAGATTACTATAGAAGTGAAGCTCAAAATTTGAGAAAGATGATGAGAAGTAGGTCTAAAAGTCCAAGACGCCTGTCACCAACTGCCCGGGTAGGTTTTAGAAACTTAAAAATATTTTGGAGTTTGATGCTCAGACACTGGCTTTTATTCTTTGTTTTACCTAATCTGGAAATAATTTGTTTTGATTTGGTGTGAATTGCTATATCAAAGGAGTTGAGGGACAGAGATCTCTTTGAAGGCACAGTAGACTACTGATAATGGTTCTTTATCCTCAGCATAAGTAGTGCTTGGGAGGTAATCAGACAAATTTGAAATGAAACTGTTTTAAAAAGATATGGTTTTTAAGCTTATTTTTTATAATTTCCCTTCATTATATAGTCTTGTTTTCTTAAGTAGAAATTGTGCATTGCCATCAGTTCACCTTTCTGTCAGTGCACCTTTCTATATCAGCACCTATCAATACTATATATCAAAGAAGAATTTCAAATCCTTACATAATTGTAGGGTGCAAACTGTGATGTAGAACTTTTGAAGACAACAAGAGATCGTGAAGAACTTAAATGCATGCTGGAAAAATATAAGCGCCATTTGGCAGAAATTCAGGGTAATGTCAAGGTTCTTACATCTGAGAGAGACAAGAACTTCCTTCTTTATGAACAGGTAAACTTATAATAAACAAATTATGTAAGTAATAACATTGAATTCTAGAGGTATGTAATTCTTCTTTGAGATCTATGAGAGTGCTTAAATCTGCCAATCAAATTAGTCTAACATTTGGGAATTATGTATGTTTTTAAGATATTCTTAATGAAATGTAATACATTTCCAATACAGGAGGTATGTGAGTACACACATTTGTTGTCCCCATAACCAAAAAAAGATCACCACACATGCATAAGAATAGTCTTATTTTTGGAATAAAATATGGACAAAGTATTACATGATAGGGCGTGGTGAGTTCAAAAACTCACAGCACCTTATCACTTTGGGAACTTAATTTTTGAGAATAAAATAAATGTGTAGTTTATCTCTGCTTTCTAGCTTAAAACTTTATAGATTTTATTAATCAAATATCTTCTTCACCTAACAAGTATTAAATCCTATAAATCACCCATATAACTTCTTTAAAAAGTATCACAAGTTTTTAATGAATTGTAGCTGCTATATACAGGGTTCTAGGCTTACTACTCTAAGGAATAGAAAAATGATAAGATGCTGATCATGTTTTTCTATAAATTTACAGTCTAGTTGGGAAGATAAAGTATACTGTATTTATTGATTTTTATTACTAAAGTGGTCTAGAATATATTGTAAGAAACAAAAGAAGTGGCCATTTTTAGATATGGTGATCAAGGAAATCTTTGTTAGAAGATATGAAGTTTGAGCCCTGAAAAACCAATGAAGTTTCTATTATCCTGGAAGGGGCTAAAAGGAACATTCCAGACTAAAGGAATGATATGAGGCAAAGGATAAACGCAGGAACATCAGCAGATAAATAAATTGGTTTAAGACTAGAATAGAGGGTATGTGTCAGTGGAGTAGGAGAGAGCTAACTAAGACTTGAAAGGTAGATTGCACTAGAGCAGGAATCAATATACTTTTTCTGTAACACCCAGACAAAAAATATCTTCTTCTTTGCCGGCCACGTGGTCTCTATTGTGACTATACAGTGCAATTGTTGTAATATGTGAATGAATAACTTTGATTGTATTACAATAAAACCTTGTGGATACTGAAATTTGAATTTCACATTATTTTTACTTGTTATAAAATATTCTTTTGATATTTTCCCCAGCCATTTAAAAACACAAAAATATTTCTCCACTTACAAACCTACAAAGTCAGGAGGCGGGTTAGAGATGGCCTGTGAGTTATACATAGTTTTCCGACTTCTGGACTAAATGGTAGAGCCTGTTCTGTGGGCCTTATATGGGGTTTATATTTTGCTTTATAAATCTTTTTTTTTTAAGGCAGAAGAAATATGACCAAAGTAGCATTTTTACAATTTTAACCTTGTGGCAATTTTTTATTTCTCACATCTTTCTATATTATCTTTTTATATAACAATTTCTCCTTTGAGATAATTGGAGGAGAGTGAGACCAAGGACTCCTCCTTAGAAGGCTGTTACAGTAGTGTACATATAAGGCATTAAGGAACTAAGCAAGGGTGCTTTCAATGGAAATAAATATAGGGACAGATGCAAAAGACACTGTGAAGGAAGATTTGACATGAATTGATTTTAGGAAGAAGGAGGATTGAATGGCAGTGACTAAAATTCTGTCTTGAATCACTTAGCATTGTGGTAATAAAAGGAGATATAGGACTGAGTCATTGGTGGTTTGAAGGAGGAGATGTGAGTTGTTTTCAGACAGAGTAAGATGATGGTAGCACATTCAGGTGATAATTGCCATCAGGCAGTAAGAAAGGTGGGACTGGAGTAGAGAGAGGCAAGAGTTAAATAGGTAGCTTTGAAAGTCATCTGCTTAGAGGTGAGTTTTGAGCATTCAGAGTGGATGAAGTCTCTGAATGAAAAAGCTGTATATAGAAGAGCAGAAAAGTCAATATAGAATATTCAAGAGGCAGAGGGAAACTTTGAAAGAGACAAAGATGACAGAGAGCTAGGGAGAAACAGTGTTATAAGAGAGGAAGGAATCTCAAGAAGGATTTTGTAAATAGCAGTAGATACACTGAAATCTCAAGGAGAACAGGAACTGAAAAAAGGCCATTATATTTGGTTAGGTCTTTAGTTGAAGTTCCACAGAGGGTGGGAGATTGGGAGCCATGTTATTCTGGGATGATAGAGTAGATGGTAAGGAACTATTGGCAATAGTTACAGACCATGGGACTTTTAAAAAATATATCAAAAGAAGAATGTCTCATAGGATGGTAAATGGGTCAGCAGGTCAAGTGACAGGTTTTCAAGATAAGAGAGCCCTGTACATGACAGAAGGCAGGGGAGAAAGTCCAGTGTAGAGGGCACTATTCAAGATGAGAAGAAATAATTATAATTGAGTCGGAGCTTATAGAAGACATTTTTGGATATGAGGCTTGGGGTTCTGGTGAAGGCTTAGCTATGTAAATTGAGAAGTAATGTATTTTCCTCTGAGGCTTGGAGACTATCTCAATAGGCAGTGATCAAAATCAAGAGGAAGGAAGATAAGGAGACGTGTGCAGCAAACTAGGATATTAAATAATCTGCAGATGTGGAATAGATTTGGGACCCAAGGATGGTTGAACAGATGTGCAGAGAGTATGCTAGGTTATCAGTAAGAATTGGTGGGCCTTTCTGTCAGGGTAAAAGTAATCAAGACATAGAAATGGTATATTTAGAAAGACTGAAACACTATGATAATATTCATTAAACCCGTAGTCAGCTTAAATTGTGCTGAATTTAAATTTATACTACAAAATGAATAAATAGAGCATACCAAATATATTTCTTTCTTTCTTTTTTTTTTTTTTTTTTTTTTTTTTGAGACGGAGTTTCGCTCTTGTCACCCAGGCTGGAGTGCAATGGCGCGATCTCAGCTCACCACAACCTCTGCCTCTTGGGTTCAGCCAATTCTCCTGCCTCAGCCTCCTGAGTATCTGGGATTACAGGCACGTGCCACCATGCCCAGCTAATTTTTTGTATTTTTAGTAGAGACGGGGTTGCACCATGTTAACCAGGATGGTCTCGATCTCTTGACCTTGTGAGTGGATCACTGCCTCGGCCTCCCAAAGATATATTTCTTAGCAAAACATTCTCTGTTGCAATGACTTCCTCCAAATTAATTTTAGTTTAAACTTTTGGCAAAGATATTGTAACATGAACTTCTATTTATGTTATATTTAAATATATCCATTTTCATTTATTTGTATAAACTCATTTTAAAATAAAAGTTATACCATTACCCTGCTGCATGCATGTTGATGTAGGTTTGCCTTTTTACTGGCTAGATATAAGATAGCTATATTTATGTTTTCTAAAGCTTGTTGAATCAAATTCTGTGATTTAAATAATAGGCACAGGAAGAAATTGCCCGACTTCGACGAGAAATGATGAAAAGCTGTAAGAGTCCTAAATCAACAACAGCACATGCTATTCTTCGGCGAGTGGAGACTGAAAGAGATGTAGCCTTCACTGATTTACGAAGAATGACCACAGAACGAGATAGTCTAAAGGAAAGGCTAAAGGTTGGAAAGAATTTTATTTATGTGAACATATGCAAAACACAAATGCAGGGATATTGAATTCACTTTATTTTGGCTTTTTAAACAGATTGCTCAAGATACAGCAGTGCATGAGAAGGCTCACCTGGAACAAAGGATAGAGGAGCTGGAGTGTACAATTCATAATGTAAAAAAAAAAAAAAAAACTCTTCTGGCTATAAACACTCAATGGCTTTCCCCTTTCCCCTTTTTCTGTGTTCAGAGAAGTATTTTTATTTTTCTAAGATAGTGTTTATAGTCCTAAAATACTTAAGGTATTTTATGGTGTAAATTGTCACTTTTTTACTTGCTTATTTCCTTCTAAAAATGTGAGTAAATTTTTTTTTGTTATTAGGTTGCAAAGTATGTACTTAAAAAAATCATTAGGCATTAATTTTCAGGGATCTTAGCAACCTTCTCATCTCCATATTTTGTTAAAGATTATATTGCCAGATGTAAAGAAAATGGGTTTTTCTACCTAAAGAGTGGATAAGGTAGAGAAAATTATGATGAAGTAAAAATTATAAGTAAAATATATTTAAACTGAGTTTAAATGTGAAACATCACATTTTCCCTAAATATTTGATATGCTATGAATATGTATTGATGATATTGTCACTATATAAACATAATTAAGGGAATTTAACTTTCTATTACCAAATAGAATACACTTATAAATTAACCATTTATTCTATTTATAATGAATAAAAAGCACTAGACAAGGACTGGACGTGGTGGCTCACGCCTGTAATCCCAGCACTTAGGGAAAGCTGGGACAGGTGGATCACCTATGGTCAAGAGTTTGAAACCAGCCTGACTAATATGGTGATATCCTGTCTTTACTAAAAATATGAAAATTAGCCAGGCATAGTGGCGTGTGCCTGTAGTCCCAGCTACTTGGGAGGCTGAGACAGAATTGCTTGAACTTGGGAGGTGGAGGTTGCAGTGGGCCAAGATTGTGCCGCTGCACTCTAGCCTGGGCGAGAGAGCAAGACTCCATTTCAAAAAAAAAAAATCCTAGAGAAGAGAAAATATTTTTTATTTTTATAATCCTATATGATATGTACAATTATCTAATCCTACATAATTTATTGATGTTGAGCAAAAAAATCCTTTCGCAAATAGGATATGTATACTATAGTCAAATTGAACCAGATTGAAAAATATAGACTGATATATTGTGATAAGCTTTATAGAAAAGCTTTGCAGTGGCTTCTTCTTGGTCCTGCTTCATAACACCTTATCCATAAAATCTTCTACAGCAGTCAGGTCTAACCTGATCATCTCATCACGTCAATCTTGCCATAAACCAATTTGTACAGAGGGAGTATGTCCCTTTAGGAAGATTACTAAGGCGTTTTTAGTGATGTCAGTAACCTTGTCATTCTACTTGTATAGCTTGATGATGAACGTATGGAGCAAATGTCAAATATGAGTTTGATGAGGGAAACCATAAGCACTGTGGAAAAAGAAATGAAATCACTAGCAAGAAAGGCAATGGATACTGAAAGTGAACTTGGCAGACAAAAAGCAGAGAATAACTCTTTGAGGTAAACTAAATTACCTTTAAACAACCAACAGTTTATTATAACTATAGCTCTGCTTCTTATAGTGTATTTTATAATGAAAATGATATGTTAAGTTCAGTTTCTGAGAGGATTATTGAAAAGCAGTTGTAGGAACCTCAACATGCAGTGAACAATTTTCCTGAGTTCAGTCACAGACTGGCAATGCTACACTTAACTAGGAATCACACTTTTAGTAATCTTACCTTACATGTGCAAAAAAACTTCAACTTTTAACTGAAATAGCTTTTACAAAGCTCTTCTGGGTATGGAATATACTTGACTTTGATTTACCTTTATAACTTCAAATTCTATTCTGGGATATGAACAGTATAAGAAAACACAAAGCACAGGTTTGGCAGTTGCTTAGAAAAAGGGTGATTTTGAATATAATGAAAGACCATAACAGAGAAATAGGAGCATGTGGTGGAACATCTGGTAATTGAATGCTTAGTACTATACTTAGCCTTTCCTATGTACTTACTTGGTAGCCGAAGATATCAGTTGAAGCAACCTACAGCAGTAAGCTTGGGAGAATGAGTTTTTGAAGACCTCTGTTAGTGGTTTTACTTTTAGTATCTGTTGATGTGAGAAACAGAGGTTCTACAGATTCAGTAAGGTTGAATTTCATTACATCTATGAACATGGAAAAATAATAATAGCTTAATACCTGGGTGATAGGTTGATCTGTGCAGCAAACCACCATGGCACATGTTTACCCATGTAACAAACCTGCAGATCCTACACTTGTACCCTGGAACTTAAAGGAAAAACAAAAATGGTAGTTCACATTTATATTAATGCTGAGAGTATGGGTATGAACCACCGGGCCTGGCCTCTCTTAACAAATTTTTAAGTGTATAATCTGGTATTGTTAAGTGTAAGAACAGTGTTGTAAAGCAGATCTCTGGAGTTTTTTATATTACATAACTGAACCTCTGTATCCTTTGAACAGCATTCCCTATTTCCCCCTCCATTCTGCCTCTGGCATCTACCATTTTACTTTCTGTTTCTGAATTTAACTATTTAGAGACATAAGTGGAGTACTGAGTAGTATTTGTCCTTCTCTGGTTGTGTTATTTCACTTAGCATAATGCCAATGTTGGTCCATGTTGTAGCATATGACAGAATTTCTTCCTTTCTTGAGGATGAATAATATTTCATTGTATTTGTATAACATTTTCTTTATATCTTCATGTGTTTATAGACATTTGTTTCCATCTCGTGGCAATTATGAATAATGCTACAGTGAACATGGGAGTGCAGATCTCTCTTTGGATAAATACCCAGCAGTGGGATTGCTGGATCATGTGATAATTCCGTTTTTAATTTTTTTTAAAGTTTTTTATTTAGCTTTTCAAGATAGAATTGATGAATAATAATTATATGTATTCAAGATGTACAACATTATATTTTGATATATGTATATATAGTGAAATGATTACCACAAGCAAGCTAATTGTTACATCCATCACTTTATAGTTACTTTTTTTGTGTGATAATATTTAAAATAAAATCTACTCTCAGAAAATTTCAAGTGTACAGTACATTATTATTAACTGTACATCAGGTCTCTAGAATTTATTTCTCTTATAACTGCAAGTTTGTGTTCTTTTGCCAACCTTTCCCCATTTTCCCTACCATCCTGACATGTAGCAACCACCCTTCGACTATGTTTCTGTGAGTTTGACTTGTTAGATTCCACATATAAGTGGATATCATGCAGTATTTGTCTTTCCATGTCTGGCTTATTTCACTTCCTCCAAGTTCATCCATGTGTCACAGATGGCAATATTTCCCCTATTTTATGACTAATAATATTCAGTTGTGTATATGCCACAATTTATTTATTCATTTATCCATTGATAGTTATAGGTTGCTTCCATATCTTGCCTGCTGTGAATAATGCTACAATGAACATGGGAGTGCAGATATCTCTTTGAGATAGTGATTTTATTTCTTTTGCATATATACCCAGAAGTGGGGTTGCTAGATCATATGGCAGTTCTAGTTTTAATTTTTTGAGGAACTTCCTTACCATTCTCCATAATGACCGCACCTAAAATTTACATTCCTACCAACAGTGCATAAAGGTTTCCTTTTTGCCACATCCTTGTTAATATTTGTTCTCTTTTGTCTTTTTGATAATAGCTATCCTTAAAGGTATGTGGTGATATCTCTTTGTGGTTTTGATTTTCATTTCCCTGGTGTTTAGTGATGTTGAACATCTTTTGATATACCTGTTAGCAGTTTGAATGTCTTCCTTGGAAAAATATCTATTCAGGTCCTTTGTGCATTTTTTAATCAGGTAATTTGTATTCATACTAAATTGTATGAATTCTTCATATATTTTTTGTATTAACCTCTTATCAGAAATCCATTTTGTAAATATTTTCTTCCATTTGTGGGCCATCTTTTCATTTGCTGTTTCCATTGCAATACAGAAACCTTTTAGTTTAATGTAGGCCTCCTCCTTGTTTATTTTTGCTTTTGTTGCTTATGCTTTTGGTATCATATACAAAAAAAAATATTGCCAAGATCAGTGTCATGGAGCTTTCCTTCTATTTTGTTTTTGGTGTTTTATAGTTTTAGGTCTTACATTTAATTTGTTAATCCATTTTGGATGGACTTTTGTGTGTATGGTTAAGGATCTAATTATTATTTCTTCTTCTTTCTTCTTTTTCCTTCCTCCTTCCTCCCTCCTTCTTCCTCCCTCCTCCTCCTCCTCCTTCTTCTTTCTTCTTTCTTCTTCTTCCAGCTTTTCCAGCTGCATTTGTCCTAAAATTCAAAAGATACCACATACCAAGTGTTGGTAAGACTATGTAACTATTGAAACACTAATGCAGTGCCGGTGCAAAACTATGCTGTTTTGATTATTTTAGCTTTGTTAATAAAATTTGAAATCAGGAAGTGTGATGTCTGTAGCCTTGTTCTTTCTGCCCAAGATTGTGTTTACTATACGGGATATTTTGTGGTTCCATATGAATTAATGCTTTTTTCTGTTTCTGTGAAAAATTCCATTGGAATTTTAATGGAAATTGCACTGAATTTTTAGATTGCTTTGGGTAGTTTGTACATTTTAACAATACTGATTTGTCTGATTAAAGATTGGAATGCCTTTCTATTTATTTGTGTCTTCAGTTTCTTTCATCAATAGTTTATATAGTTTTCAGTGTCCAGATCTTTTACCTTTTAGGTTAAATTCCTAGGTATTTTGTTGTTTTTTTTTTTGATTCTGTTATAAATGGGATTTTTTCTTAATTTCTTTCTCATATAGTTTGCTGTTATTATATAGAAATGTGACTGATTTCTGTATGCTGATTTTGTATTTTGAATCTTTACTGAATTTGTTTCTTAGTTGTATAATCTTTTGGTGCTGCCTTTAGAGTTGTCTATGTATAAGAGCATATCACCTGCCAGCAGAGACAATTTTACTTCTTTTTTTTTTTAGGACACATTTTATTTCTTTTTCTTGCCTAAGTGCTCTTGCTAGGACTTCCAGTACTATATTGAATAAAAGTAATTAGAGTGGACATCCTTGTCTTGTTCCTGATCTTAGAGGAAAAGATTTTAGCTTTTCACTATTGTGTTACCTGTGGGCTTGTGACACATGGCGTTTATTTTTGCTCTGATTTTTGTTATTTCCTTCTACTAACTTTAGGTTTAGTTTCTCCTTCTTTACTAGTTCCTTGGAGTGCAAAGTTAGGTGACTTGAAGTCTTTTTCCTTTTTTAATATAGATGTTTATTAGTATAAACTGCCCTCTTAGGGCTGCTTTTGCTACATCTCATAAATTTACTGTGTTGTGTTTCCATTTCTGTTAGTATAAAGATATTTTTTTAATTTTCTTTTTGATTTCTACTTTGACCCATTGAGTTTTCCAGATCATGTTATTTAATTCCCACACATTTGTTAATATCTAGTTTTTCTCATGTTACTGATTTCTAGTTTCATACCATTATGGTCAGAAATGATGCCTGATATGATCTCAGTATTCTTAAATTTGTTAAGACTTGTTTTGTGGTCTAGCTGTGATCCATCCAGGAGAATGTTCTGTATGTGCTTGATTTGAATGTGTATTCTGCTGCTGTTGGATGGGTATTCTGTATATGTTTATTAGGTCTATGCGGTATAGTTCAAATACAGTGCTTCTTATTGATTTTCTGCCTAAATCTATCCATTGTTAAAAATGGGGTATTGAAGTTTCCTGTTTTTTATAGATGTCTATCTCTCCTTTCATATCTATTAATATTTGCTTTATATTACTTAGGTGCTCCAGTGTTGGATGTGTGTTTACAATTATTATATTCTCTTGATGAATTGACTCCTTTATCATTATGTAATGATTTTTGTCTTATTTTACAGTTTTTAATTTAAAGTTTGTTTTGTTGGATATAGATATACCTAGCCTGCTCTCTTTTGGTTTCCATTTGCATGTAATGCCTTTTCTCATCCCTTCACTTTCAGTCTGTGTGACCTTACAGGTGAAGTGGGTCTCTTGTAGGCAGCATATTTTTGGGTCTTGTTTTTCTCCATTCAGTCACTTTATGTATTTTGATTGGAGAATTTACACCATGGTAATTATTGACAGATAAGAACTTACTATTGCCATTTGTTAATTGTTTCCTGGCTGTTTTGTAGATAACCTTTTTTCCTTTTCTTTCTCTCTTGCTACCTTCCTTTATGATGTTATGATTTTCTATAGTGGTAGGTTTTGATTCCTTTATCTTTTGTATATCTACTATAGGTGTTTACTTTATGGTTACCATGAGGGCTTCGTACAATATCTGATACTTAGAAAAGTCTATTTTAAGCTGGTAACAACTTTACTTCAATTACATAACACTACACTTTTATTCCCCTTCCACTTTTAATGTTTTTGTGGGGGTTTTTTGAGACAGGGTCTCACTTTCTCAACCAGGCTGGAGTGCACTGGTGTGAATACAGTACTGTATTCAGTGCTCCTGGGTTTGACCTCCTGGGCTT